CCCATCACCTCTTCCGGTTGAGTGTCGACCACCGGAGCTGATCCAGAGTTCACCCTCTCTAGCTGCCATAAAATTGATCGTCTCGTTCCCTTGTGAATGTTTTGGTGCTGACGAATGAAATGTGTTATAGGTGATGTGAGTTGGAAAAAAAACAAAAATTACACTAACGTAAGTATTTCTTTCGCCTTTATTTTTTGATATCTGTACAGTTTATGGTTATTTGATGAAATCGCCTAGAACTACAAGCGTCCGGCATCTCCCTGTAGCTTCCTGTGAACTATCAATTGCACAGTACGTGACTTATGATCAATTTTCTGCATGGTTGTCCCACCCTATGGTACAAGCGAAAGAAAAGGAAAATTGTTTTTATTGCCGGTAAGGTCTCAGTAAATTACGTAGCAAGGAAAATGTAATCTCTATCATGTAGGCATGGAAAGGTATGGAAGCTAACTTTTGCCTCTTCCATTGGGTACACAATGTACTTTTTTTTAAGAGCGTAGAATTTTAGAGCCGAGGTTGAACCTTCTAATTTTTGTTATTTTTTTCATCTCTCTTTTGTGTTATGCCGCTTTTTGTGAGCCTGGAAAAGTTCTCAAAATGTTCTTCGGGTTACGTGCTTAATTATTTACATAAACTACAGCTTGAGGCGAACGTGGCCAGGAAAACTATCATGTTGTGTTTTGTTATGTAAGCCTCTTTGGTGCACAAGGTCAAAGTACCTGTCACATGATTTAACTTGATGTCTGCTAAATTTGACTTTACATGAAAGGTTCGAAACGAATCAAGGTTCTTAACTGGCTCTTATTCCTCAAATACAATTTTCAAACCAGACCACGGTCGAACATCGAATAATAATGTGACAGGGATTAATTATTGTGTAAACATTGATGAGACTCCTACTGATGAAACTCCCTGTGTGAGCAATGTGCCGTTTTGATTTCATTCCCACGATCTCAGCGGAACGCTTGCATGTGACCCGGATAAGGTTTTGAAAACCTGTCACCACTTCCTTCCTCGTTATAATGTTGTACTTTGGCTTAGCTCTCAAGTGTTAAAGTGAGAAAATTTCCTCCCCTATCAGAGGATCAGAAAGGAGGTGTTGAGTGCATTTAATTTAACTCAGTCCCCTCCTGCAAAGTGCATTAAAAAATATTCAGGATAAAATTAGATGCGTCCTATTTCAACAAAAGCAAAGAGTTCAGTAAAAGTGAGGATATTTGTTACACAATTATTCATACTTAACTTACGCAAACGAACATTTCTGTGCTTGAATTGTTTTTTCCTTTTTTCCGGAGAGGCGCTCGCCATGTACTCTTGCAATTCTTGTAATTAGTCATGCCTATACATCATGACAGCATTTGGGACATGAGAAGCTTCCCTGACATTTTGTCATGTTCATTTTCCAGTTCATCCGGAGAAAGTACTACTTTATTTTCAACTTTAATAGTTTAATTCACTTAACTGTTACCTCGGTTAGTTCAACAGGGTGCTTAAAATGTCTACGAAAGGGAAATAGCTGAATTCCTCTTCTTAATTGAGTTGTAATGCGGTGTATCCTTCCTCTTGGTGTGTGATGCGCATGTTCTCCTCGGCAGAAAAGCATATAAGCATTCGCCTCTCTTTATAGAGCGCCCAACGCGCTCATAGGATTTTGTCGCTAATAAAGATAAATCTCGACCATCCTAACGAACTTTTGACCAAGCTCGTCGGCTGTATGAACAAATCCGAGACTTTTAGATTTTGAAAAAATATACCAGACATCATTTTAGATGAATATATAACTAAATGCACCATTAACGAGACTTGGAGACTCGTTGCTAAAGGTAGCAAGATTTCGAGAGAGATTTTTAACTTTCATTCACCATCCCTAAGTTTCCGAGAAAAGTTAAGCTGACATTTAAGGAAAAAAGTCATCTTCAGTTTGTCCATCGTCAATGAGAACCCTGTCAGCCTTATATTCTCCATCACTTGTCCCCGTAGTCTAGCTGTCGCTAGCCATGCGATTACTTTCGTGAACAATCGCCTCTCTCAATTATAATCGCAACCTGCCATCAAGTTCTGATCGCCAGTGATCAGTTAAGATCGACTTCGGTCGTGAATACCCATTCGGGCGTGAACAACGACAATCGGTATTTTCTCTGACGAGTATGGTCGTAACATTCATTACTACCGGTATTCGTTCGAAAGTCATCGTGATGAAAATCTTAACACAAATTTGATGGACTCTATAAAATAACCTGGTTTTTTCTCTTCTTCCTTCATGATTGTTATTCATGATCTTGTGCTGAATCTCCCGGACAGTTGTCGGCCATGTCCTGATCATCTAAAAAGAAAACAAAATTATCCTTACTTTAGTATTGAAAGATTGCAGCTGCATTTTTGCTTTAAAATTAAAAAGAACATAATGTTTATCTTAACCTCTGAGATGGTTCTGCCACAAAATCTTTTTGTTCACCTTCACTTCGTGAAACTGTAACACATCACGGTGGACCGGCACAGCACAACAGAATGACCTTCGCCAAGCTAAATCCATCCCCCCCCATACACATGCTAGACTAAAATACACTGTTCCTACCCATTCCCCATAAAGATGTCAAATGACGCAAAGGCTTGTGTGGGAAATGCAAGATGAAGCCATCTCCTTCAGATCTCTTGGGACAGCCCTCCCCACTTGCCC